ATCATTCCTTAATCATTTTAGGTCTGTTGGTCTTATTTCCCTAAGTAAACAGTGAGCCACTCCATTGGGTGGGACCACAACGGGTATGATTTCTGCTTCCTGTACAGTGCCCAGCACAATGGCCACAAGCAAATGGCTGCTGGTCCTTGGTGTGGATGTACAGGGGTCTCCGACTTCAGAGCCAATTCTGGACCTCCATAGTCCCTCACCCTCTTCTGGAAAGAGCACTTCAGTTTCTTTTGGGGGACCACTCCTTTTCATGGGGTTCATTTGGTTGGGATGGAGCTGGCCTGATTCTCTACTTTCTCCACGCCAGAAATGGGCTCTTGATCTAGGCTTGCCAATCAGAGGCACAGAGGTTGGTGAATGGATGGGCATTTGACCCAGTTTGGGCCAGTGAGATTTGAGCCTGAGAGTTGTGCTGGCATTTGGGAAGTAGAAGGCCTCCTTTTTAAGTTGGGATTGCTGAGAGGGAGTCACTATAGGAAGAAAGTTGGCTAAGGGGTGCAGAAACACTAAACCCTGAGGAAATTGCTTGAGCTCCTGGATCCAGCCCAACCTGAATCCCATGTACCCCTGGAATTTTCATTTCTTGTGATCCAATAAGTTTCCATTGTAGCCTAAACACTCCATTCTTCAAACTGAGAGTCCTGCTTGATACTTGCTTTTTCTTTTTCTTTTTAAAATTTTATTGATAATACTAGATATTAATACACAACTCAACTCCAGGTCCAGGTGTGTGTTTTTAAATAGCAGCTTTAGTTGATAATACTAGATATTAACAATAAGCTCCACAAGGCTGCAGCTACTGGAAAAGCACAAAGAGAAAGTGCTATGGGCCGAAAGTCAAGGCCAAGTATTTTGGCTCTGTTATGAATACCCTGACTATAGAACCTCCCTGTGCCTCAGTTACTCTGTCTGCAAAATGGGGCTCGCACTCTCCTGTTCCTCTAGATTTTCTATAATTCCATGACTTTCAAGTTTATAGTCCAGACTTCTCTTTGGAGCTTCAGACCCACAAATCCAATTGAACAGAACTTTTGAACAGCACTGGTTTTATTTTTCCACAATATTTTTCTTTCATTGTTCTTCCTCTTATTACATTACATGGTACTTTGTGCTGGAAAGTGCTAGTTGTCTTCCAATATCAATTCTTCTTTTCTCCCTCTGAGAATAATAGCCTCTAAATTTTAATGGGGCATATGACTAGACTGCATGTCTCAGACTCCCTTGCAGCTAGGTGTGGCCATGTGATCAAATTCCAGCCAATGGGATGTGAGTGGAAATGATATGTGCAACTTCTGGGTCTGGCCTTTAAAGAGAGGGACAAAAAATGAAATAAAATGAAAGATAGAGGGGTGAACTCACCTTTTCTTCTTCCCCCTTCTAACTGGCTAGAATCCAGACACAGAGTGAGCTATGTCTTATCTTGGCAATGAGGGCAATGCTCCAGGGATGGCAAAGAGTAAGACAGACGTTCCCTGGCACCCTACAGCAGCCTTGCCAGCTTGAACTGCTATACCTGTTAGGCTAGGGGAATTTTCTATCTTGTTTAAGCCACAGTTATTTTGAATCTCTCTCAGGGTTGCTGGATTTAGTAAGTAAAAAATACTCATTTCTCACCTAAGAGAGAGATGGAGGAGAGAGGGGGGAATTCTACAAGAGTAATGAAGATGGCATAGGACACCTGGGGGCTCCAATAGCTTCTCACCTCAGTTTCCCCTGTACATTCTGAGAGCAAAGGAGGCAAGTGAGCCTGAAGTCTGACTCTTATTCTGTCCTGGATGTTCTTTCGCTGAGCCTCAGTTTTTCTTTATGTACTACGGAGACTAATTGGGCATGACCGTCTCCTAGGTCCTTCCAGCTCTGACATTCTGTGGTTCTGTAATTCTAGGATGAATGTTGAAATTCAGATGCTAGCCCTAGCTGGTATTGCTCAGTGGATAGACTGATGGCCTGTGGACTGAAGGGTCCCAGGTTCAATTCCTGTCGGGGGCACATGCCTGGGTTGTGGGCTTGATTCCCAGTGTGGGGCATGCAGGAGGCAGCCAATCAATGATTCTCTCTCATCATTGATGTTTCTATCTCTCTCTCCCTCTTGCTTTCTCTCTGAAATCAATAAAAAAATATATTTTTGAAAAAAAAGATATGTTCACTCAAAAATGATATGGCATTAAAAAAAAGAAATTCAGATACTAATGGGGCCAGAAGGGCCCCATAAACAAATTAAATAGGCCAGGTTGGGGCTGTGGATGGGCTGGAGAGCATACGGCCCGACAATAAAGGAGTTGCTACTCTGCTCCTGCTGATAGCTGCCTTTGGGAATGTAGGATTGCCAGACTTTCTAATTTTTCAAGAAGAGCTAGAATCTAGATTGTTTTGGTCTGTGCAGTCTCCTGATTTTTAAGTGTTGGCAACAAATTCACATTTTTCCAAGCACTCTAGAGACCAAACTAAAAATGTCTGTAGGCTGAACTTGGCCGGCGGCCATCAGTTAGAAATCTTTTGTTTTGGTATTATTTTCCTTCCTTCCTTCCTTTATTCAACAAATATTTATTTGATGCCCACTATGTGGGGGGCACTGCTCTATACCCTGGGGATAAAGCAACAAATGAAACAGGAGAAAGAGTGCCTGTCGCCACACAGCTTTCATTCTAGAGAATCATGCTGATTCATTCATGCAGCAAATATTTATTGAGCAATTCCGGCCCATGCATTGACTTGTTGGGTTGATAAAATAATGTTCATGGTCCCTACTTTCACAGTACATATATCCTAGGAGGGATAAAGACAATATAGTACAGAATTATGATTATAAGTGAAAAATACAGTTATGGGGAGAGATGCAATTTAAATGGAAAGTCCTCTTGGAGGAACTGAAAAGATCAATAAATCTGACCTTGTAAAAGAACTTTCTAGATATAGCAAAGGCTTCTAATGTGCCTCTTTCCCAGGTCCCCTCAGCTGTCACCATTCCTGTACATGCAAAGGCTTTCCCTGCCCTCAATCCATGATAGAAGGGAACCTGTAGATAAATATCCCAGCGCCCTCATTCTTTGGGTGGGTCAACTCTGAGGGTTCCCAGTGGGATCGAACCCCGGTTACCATAGTAACTATTTATGCACACTACATGGGCTGCCTCATTTCCTCCCTCTGCATCGGGTGTCTCTTGGAACCTACCCCCAAATAAATTACCGGCACTCATTTGTCTGAGGCTCTGTTTCTGGGAGAAGTCCAGCAGATATGGGAGAGAACGTGGCAGGTTCAAGGACAGAAAGCAACTCAGGATGAGTAGGAGGAGATGGGGCTAGAGAGTGGGGCAAGAGCCAGCTCCTGAAGAGCCCTGGAGGGTGGGGTTAGGGCTTGTCAATGGGGAGCCCACTGACGGTTTTTCAGTAGGGGGAGTGATAGGACCAGGCTTGTGCGGGGGGCTGTAAAGGGGAAGAGTGGGAGCTGGGAGACCAGATAGCTGGAGGTGAAGGTAGCTGGGATTAGGTGCTGGGGTTAGAGAGGTGGTTGGCAATGAGGACTCATATGGACCAGGTGGCATAGAGTTTTGAAAGCAGCTCTTGGCTTTGTCTCTGTCTTGAGGGAGCCCGCAATTTGGTTTAAGAAGCGGTGGTGGGACACAGACACAAAAATCATCCTTAAGATGACAAAGCACTATACAATTTCCGAGAACCGATTGCTGCACAAGGTGCAGAACTTCAGAGTGGGCTCTCTCTAAGGGCAAGGCGAGTGAAGCAATGCTTTTTAGGGAAGGTGACTTGACCAGGGTGAGGGTGGGTAGAAAAACCACAGAACACCAAGACCTAGAGAGCAACTCACTACAGCAGCCCCTTGAACAGCCCCCCTTTTGGCAATGGTGGCCAACTCCACTCTGGGTGTTTTCTGCAGCTCTTGCCCTCCTTTACCGAACCTGTGCATAGACCAAACACGTACGCCGGACTTCCCGTAGGCACTGCTAGACATATTAACGGCATTCCGACAACCGTAAGAGATTTCTGCACCACCAACACCATTTTTATATTCTTTACAACATAATGGCAGACGATAAATCTATCTTGCTAATTGCACATCCAGCTTGTTATACCTCCCATAAAAACACGAGCAGCTGGAAAAGCCATGAGGTGATGTCAAATCATATTCCTGGTCTCTAAACAGAAACAGAAATATTTTCCAGGCGCTGGTGAGTCTCATGGTTCCTACCCAGGCGTGGAAGCAGCTGCCAACAGGTCGTTCACCCCGGATGAGATGGGAACTGGCCAGTCCTCGGAAGCTCCGCCCTCCCACCCCCACCTGTCTCCTTGAGGGGATGGCAGACATCTGGTGCACCCACATGTGTTTTGTTGGGAACCCACAGGATGAATGCAAAGAATCGGCAGGGTTTGGGTGTTAGCAGTTGGGTCCATTTTTGCATTCTTCAGGTGGTTTCAATGTTTCTTCCATTCACCACCAATCAGCCCACAGCGATTGCCCAGAATTCTAAGGGAATGGTTCCCCAACATAATTTGTCAAGGATACATTTGCAAAGCTGTTGCTAAGTTCCATGCTGGAGCTGACAAAATGCCTCCCCCTCATCTCAGAAAAAAAGGAAGGAAAATTAAATGCATCTGCTGGAGACACTAAGATACACAACAGGGAAGAAGAAAAAGATTTCACCTCGTTTTATTTAAAGCTAGGATTACTGGTTTGGGCTGCAGCGTATCCTGGCCTTCTTAGAAAGAAGGTAGCCAACGACTATGAGCTTATAGCTTATCAAGTGGGTTGTTGAATGCTTCATGTGTTGGAAGAAAAGGCATGGGAGACAATGGAAGGGAAAGCTAATTAAATTTTCACATGTCAAGGGGAAATTCCATAGGCTTTCTCCAACATAGGCAGACCCAAAGGGACTGCTTTTGTTAGAGAAGCTGCCTCATAAACTGCCCCCACAATTCCCCGGACAGATCAGCTGTACACAAAGTCCTGTTGGAAAAAAAGAGAGACAAATGGATTCTTACCTTCCCGTATCTGGATGCAAAAGTCCCCGTGAGTAAGGAGTGAAAAATAATTATTGTCTCATCCAAGTCCCACACGAACACACGCTGTGATAAAAAGAGAGGAAGAGAATGGAGACAAATGGACTCACTTGCGTCTGACTTAATGTCTGCAGGAATTAATTCCCTGGAGGAAAAAGAAGTCTTGAAAAACATTATCTTTAAGTCATAAAACATTCGACCTACTGATGCGTCCTTACGTCCCTTCCAACCTCAGCTGTGTAAAGAGTATGCTGATGGCCAAAGTTTTGGGCTCCTCTCAACGCAGTCAATGCCAGAACCAAGAAGCCTGTTCTTGCCTTCCACATAAAAGCTCAAAAAAGGAAAAGTTCAGTCCAGAAACAGCAATAAAAATCATATAACTCATTTGACAAAATGAAATATTAGCATTTTACATTCACAGCTCACCATAAGTCCAACTACTTCTGACCATTTCTCTTTTTAGCAATTCTGTTGGTTAACTCTAAATAACACACTTATATCTTTGTTTATTGATGTGCCAACTTTAGACAGTATCTTTTGACTTGGCAATCTGAAAGATTTGGGTTTATTTTTCCCCATACAGGAATGGCTCTATTTTCCATTCCATCAGCTGTGGATATTCTTCCTTGGCTAAAACAGTAAACCCAATATGAAGACATGAATATTGGAGTCCCTAGCCTTTCCCCTACTCCCTCCGCTCTCAATCAGCTCTTGCCTTACTTCAGCACTGTCAGTGTGGATACACTGGTTTGTGCATTTGGTTTAATAACTACACTTAAGGCTTCTCTGCTCTGTCTTTATGTTGCTTTTACAAGTTGGTAACCAGCAAAGAGCACTCACATCTTGTGAAGACTGTTCTCTGCAAAGCAAGTAACTGTACTAGAATTTTGCTTCGTTCTCTAGGGGTCCAATGTGCTAATTCCAGAGCCAGTTCAAGAAGACTGTTCCTGCCAGCAAGGTCATTTTCTCCTTTCTTGCGCTCCATCCAATTAAAATGATGCCATCTCTCTGTCCACATAGGAATCATATCTGTTTAGATATAACTTTTTGTTTTTGCTGGAGTTTATTAAATTGCCATAATTTTTTTGCATTTCCATTAATGTGCCTTCATTAGAATCTCAAATTCAGCCACACCCTCGGTATCGAAGTTGTCTATCCTCCGTGACAGAATGCTCTAACATGGTGTGGGCCATCTTTAGGCTTGCTGCCTAGCTAGCATGACTGTTATTTCTGGGTCAAATCTGCTGTTTCCTAGATCCCAAATCTCTTTCTTGCTTTTCTTCCTTGTTGTGCTTGAGTACATCTTTGAGTTTCTTCTTCTGAAAGGGTTCATGGAAAATAGTTTTCCAGAATTCTTGCATATCTGGTGATATCTTCATTTTGCTCCACAGTTCCTGTGGGTACAGAATCCCAATAGGAAAACAATGCCCTCTAGTCCTTTGAAAGAATTCCTCAGCTTGTGTGACGGATGAGTAGTCTGATGTTTCACTGGTCCTCACTCCTTTGCAGGTTTTACTTCTTTTCTCTTTAGAATTTTTTTTAAGGATCTTTTCTTTATACTTGGTATCCTCAAAACCCCATAAAGATATATTTAGGTGTAGTCTTTTTTTCATTCATACAGTTCACTTCCAATCTTATTTCTTTATATAATTTCCTTCCATCTTTTCTACTGTTCTCTCTTTCTGGAATTTCCAATAGTCAAATTAGACATCCTGAGTCGATGCTGCTTATCTTTAAAAAACGTATTTTCTATAATTTTACCTTTTTTGTTGATAGATTTCTTAAACTTTCTCTTCCAACTCTTCTATTAAACTTCTGATTCTTGCTGTCATTTAAAAATTTACACTTACTCTTTGTTTGTCTTTGAGTGTCCCTTTCCCAACAGCTCTGCCTCTTAGTTTAAGAATGCAAGATCTTGAATCTTTATAAGAAAACCAATCAGAATTTTAAACATTTCCTTTCTGTTTCACCTTTCTTGATATTTATTTTATTTATTTATCTTGGACTTCATTTTTCATACTGTTGTCCTAATTTTTCTGGTGATCATTATTTTTACGAACAAAAGGCCTAGTGATCACTTACATAGCTAGTCTTGGGCAAGGCCAGAATGGGGGACAAAGGCACCTGCTAAGCGTGCCATTGTCAACGAGCCACCTTTAAAACCCTTCTGGAGTTCAGGGGCTGTATTTATTCCTTAGCATTTGCCACACCTTTAAAAATAAAGAGAAGGGTGGTATTTAGAAGTAAAAATGTCAGTTAGTGCAGGGATTTTCAAACAGCAGACCTGCGTATTATTTTTGTGAGTTTTTTTTTTTGTCTCGTTATATATTTAAGTATATGTATATGCTGGGTCATGATATTTAGTATAGTTCTTACTTTGGGTCACAGTAAAAAAATGTTTAAAAAGCACTGTTTTTGAGGAGGGCTTCTGAAGTTTAAATATGCAAGTCCTAATTTATCTGAACTAACTAGGTTGGATCAGTTCAACTTACACATTTTAGTAAGAGAATTAAAAAAACATCAATGAATATTTTCAAATTTAATGCAGGCTCAATTAATTTAACTACGTCTCCTCTGAAGAAGGCCTGTCCCTCTCCCCCTCTAGCCTCCTCTCTATTCCCGTGGCCTTGATCCTTAGTAAGTTCCTGGGGCCATTCTGCAGGTAACCCTACTTCCTAGTCCTCTGGGTTTGGTCTAGGACGGGTCCCTAACCCCATGTGAGTCAGAAGCTTTGCCTTGGGAACTTAAAATTAGGGCCTAGAAGGAAATTAATCATCTTTGGGTGGTTGCTGGAGGCTACATGTGAAGGACAGGGAAGGCCGGTCTGCAGAGAGAGAGAGGAACAAAGAGGTGAAAGATGGAAAGAGAACACTTTTGCAGGACCTGGCTTCAGTTAGAAGCAGAATAAGCCTGGCTGGTGTGTCTCAGTGGTTGAGCATCAACCCAGGAACAAAGAGGTCACTGGTTCTATTCCCATTAGGCACATGCCTGGGTTGTGGGCTCCATCCCCAGTAGGGGGCATGCAGGAGGCAGCTGGTCAATGATGTTTCTCTCTCATAGATGTTTCTATCTCTCTATCCCTCTTCCTTCCTCTCTCCTAAAAATCAATAAAAACGTATTTTTTAAAAAAGCAGAATGGGCTGTGCCCAGTAACCTGTGCATGGGGCACTCAAAAGACATGATTGCTTGGAGATTCTAGCACCTTCACCGTGACACATGGGGAGAGAAGTGTAAATGCAGCTCCTTGCCCGGCTACCTGTGGTCTTGCTGATACACCACTGTACCCTCTGACCTTGGGTTCTAAGAGAACCTGTGTATCCTTAAAATAAATTCTGCTTTTTCGTTTAAGCTAGCTCAAGTTGGTTTCTGGCACCTGAAATCGAGGGATTTAAACTAATACACACTCAGAATTTTCCTCCTTCCCACTTCTGTACATAATTTCTGTCTCATGGGCTTCAGTCATTAGCAAAGCTGCCAAGACTTAGGAGGTGCGACCGTGCAAACGCTCCATGTGACAAGAAGCACAGAAGTGAAACACGGCTCACACCTTTTCAACTGTTCCTGCCCAGTGGTACTTACTTTGGAATCAAGAAGCAGATGTTTCCAGAATATATCACCCTGCAATCCGCGACTTCCATGCCACCTCCACCTCCCTCTCAGCTTAATGGAAAAAATGTCTTTCTACCCCACCACCCCCTACCAAGAGCAGAAACCATGCTAGCGGGCTGAGTCGTTGTTTTTAAATATTAAAGTATGGATTGCTCTGGGTGATTTCTATAGCTCTGCAACTTCAAGCGGGTAGAAAACCCTCAGGAATAGGGAGGGCAGAAAGCAAGGACAGCCTGGAGTCAAAACATTTCCTCTTTTGCTGAAGGGATTGTGCAATGCCCCCCCAAATTTTGGAAGGTGGGGGCCTTTAAGAATTAAAGGAAAAGCAAGGACAAAATCCCCTGGATTAAGAATAGTCCCATGTGGCAGGCCCCCAGGGTGGTCAACTCTCAGAGGAGATGGCCGCGGGAAGTTGATCAAATGTAGGGGACAAGCATGATGTCCCAAATATTTAACACCTAGGAAGACGGGACAGACACCAGTTGCAAATAACCACTACAGCCCTACTAGTGAACACTGGCTAACTAGTACAGCCCTACTAGTGAACACTAGCTAACTAGTACAGACCTACCAGTGAATCCTGGGTAAATATCAAATGCCCTGGTGGTGAGCATCTGTTATTTGGGCCCCCAGCGCACCCCCCGCACCCCCGCTTCCTTACAAGAGCACTAGTTTGCTTCTTTGTTTGCTGTGTGCTGTCTTGGCGGGACTGTCCATTGGAGCCAAGCATAAGAGCCATGCCAGGCCCATGGGATGCTGTCTCCTTGCACTGGAACATGGAGTGGCGTGGCACTGGGATCAAATGGTTCGCCTCCAGCAGCGGCTGTCATCCCGAGGGTTCCCTGTGACTGTTCTTTCTAACCCTGGTTTCATGACTTCCTCCCAGTAAAATCCTTTTGGCTTAAGTAACCAGTACTGGGTTCTGTTGCTTAGAACCCAAGGATTGTAGCTCATAGTCCAAGGTTCTTGTCCTCAACAAGCATTTCCATGCCTGATGTACAGCACGGAAACCCCAGAGAGTGGTGGACTGGCACTGACCACAGCAGGCACTGGCAGTGAGGAGGGTGGCAGTGGCCAAGCCACCCTGGGCATTAGAAGCTCTTCTTCTGTTTCCTGAGACCTCTTAGACCCCGAAGTTCTCACACAATTCTGGGAGGGGAGGGGCTCCAGTAATAAGATGGTATTTCCTACCTACCCAGATGGGATGGGGACTCAGGGTCAAAATTACCTTGATATTAAAGAAATGATGAAAATGGTCTTTCGTAGCATATCTGAATGTGCGGGCTGAGCTTTGTAGCTGTTACGTGAATTGGACTGGATAAGGAATAGGGATGTGACGATGATGATGATGCATTTGAGTTTTTGGCACTGACACTGTCTTTGAAATACGATACCCATTCCTACGGCACACTCAAGCCAACGAATGACTGCCTTTTGCAAATAAGTACAAACTACTGCACATGCTCATTTTTCTCCCTTGACAGATAAGAGTTGCCTCTATCTTTTTTTTTTTTTTTTTGCATCCATTTGGCCTCTGTACTTTCTTCCTCTCTGATGCTTTTTTTTTTGTTTGTTTGTTTTTTGCAAATGTCAGTGCCTGACCAATAACCCTACACCTGCTTTATTAGAATAAAGATTGGTGCATCCCTTACGTCAGCCGTTCTCAGCCTGGGGCACACGCCAGAATCACTCGGAGAGCTTAAAATCCCGATGCCTGGGTCCCGTCCTCAGGGAGGCTGATTTAATTGAGCTGGGGTCCAGGTTGAGCACGAAGATTTCTCAAAGCTCCCAGGAGATTCCAGGTGCAGCCCAGGCTGAGAACCACTGAGAAATGCAGAATCATAGGAACCATGCGCACTCATCCGAGCCAGCCTCCTGTCTCCAGGCAGAAAAATATCTAGGCCAGTGGTTCTCAACCTTCTGGCCCTTTAAATACAGTTCCTCATGTTGTGACCCAACCATAACATTATTTTCGTTGCTACTTCATAACTGTAATGTTGCTACTGTTATGAATCGTAATGTAAATATCTGATATGCAGGATGGTCTTCGGCGACCCCTGTGAAAGGGTCGTTGGACCGCCAAAGGGGTCTCGACCCACAGGTTGAGAACCGCTGGTCTAGGTCGTATTGGAACCACTAGGGGAGCTTTCAGAACTCCCTGCAATGTCTATTTAATTACTCTGGGGTGGGGCCTGGGCATCTATATTGTAAAAGCACCCCAGGTGATTCCGCTGTGTAGCCAGGGTTAAGAACCACTCTGACCCAGCTGGGAAGGCCCACTGCCCATTGTCGTGTGTATCAGGGGCTCCCAGCGTGTGGTCCCCAACCCAGCAGCATCAGGGAACTTGTTGGAAATACAAATTCTCAGGCCCTGCCCCAGATCTGCTGAATTGGAAACTCTGGGGGTGGGGCCCAGCAGGCTGGGTTTGCACTCGTCCCTGAGGACTCTGCTGCTGCTTATGCTGGAAAACCACGCTGTTCTTTACTATCTTCAGGGCACTTTCCCTAGCCTGTCAGTCAATGGTGTTTCCCTATGGCCAGCCCAACTCTTCCCCACTTTCCCTCCAAGGGCTCTTTTCTCTGTAACTGGGCTTTGTGAATGCAAATGGCCATTCTCCTCCATGAACTTGGACAGAACCCTGTCCCCTGCCCTTCTGTTCAGGCCACAGATGGAGATTACATTCACCGCGTCAGCGGCAGCTGGAGTTACCTCGATCTCGTTGTCCCCCGCCGGGGAGGGGTCGCTGCTCCGCTTAGACCGGCCTCGGAGCTTCCCGTCGGAGGCCCGGTGCGGCCTGTCTGTGTCTCCCTCTTTTGCGGGCGTGGAAGGTCCATTGTGTGTGTTATATTCACCTGGCGGAGGAAAGGGGAGCTTGGCTGAGAGTCTCCTCCCAGGAAATAGCACACCAGAACTGTCAAACGCCAAAGCGGTAGGTCCCAAAGGCAGCTTCGAAGGCAAAGATCATGTAGAATCAAAATTACTCTTGTCAGGCTCTTAAGTTGCCCATTCATTCGGCCAACAAACATTTACTGAGGAGGCACGGTTTCAGGCACTGATTCTCATAGCACCTACATTCTAGAGAGAGGAGAGACGTTAGACAAACAAGTAAATATATAACGTGCCAGGTGGGGACATGCCTTACAGAGAATGAACAAAGTGCATGGGGAACAGGGAGTGTGGGAGGTGACTGATTTATATGGGGCTAGTCAGGGAAGGCCTCGTGGGTAAGCGGGCATCTGAACAAGGATCTTAGTAAAGTGGGGGTGAGGCCACCGGGGGAATGAATACACTAACAGAGGAAGAAAAGTAATATTTATATGTGGCCGGGCCTCAAATTCTTCTACCATTAAGAGACCCCCCTCCCTTGGGGTTAATGGGGGTGTTGGAGAATTCTCTATGTTCCTGTCCCTACGCAGCTTGCTCCTTTAAGCTTTACTTGTTGAGAGACTTGTCCCTTTGAGAATTAAATGAGATTCTATACATCCAATACAGGGTTGGCAATTAGGAAATGCTCAACTTGACCCACATGCATGCAAGGATCAGTCAGAAGGTGCAGGACAGAGGGTGGGCACTGGGTGCTTCTCATCAATATGGTGTTTTTGGACTCGGGGTGTTGAGAGGCTGCCACGCTCATGCCCTTGGGCAATGGTCTAAGGACCCCAATAAGTGAGCAGCACCCTCCTGGGACTCAGGTCCCAAAGTCAGCACCCAAGTTGTATTGTTTTTTTAAGCACATACATTTTAAAAAAATATATGTTTTTATTGATTTCAGAGAGAGGAAGGGAGAGGAAGAGAGAGAAACATCAATGATGATAGAAAATCATTGATCGGCTGCCTCCTGTATGCCCCTACTGGGCATGTGCCCTGACTGGAATCGAACCATGACCTGCTGGTTCATGGGTCAAGCCCAACCACTGGGCCACAATGGCCGGGCTAAGCACATACGTTTTAAATACATGGTTTTTAAAATTATACTTCATTATCTTTATTTAACTAATGAGGGAACTAAGGCTTAGTGAGATGATGGAAGTCTGTGGTTACCCTGCAAATCAATGATAGAGCCGGAGCTAAAACTTGGGCCTGCCCTTGTTACTAGAGTGACAGACTGTAGACCAGCATGGAACCTTAGAGGACATCCCATCCCACTTTCTCACTGTCCAGCTGCTTGTTTAGCTCCCAAATATAGACTCCACTTCCCCTTCCATAATTGCCAGGGTTTGGATCATCAGGGGGAAATGCTTTTGTCTAAAATACTTGGCAATGGACTGAGCTTTTTCCTACCCTGAAAGGATTATTTCCCTCCAAAACCCTGAGGACTGAACTTTGTTTATGTAATATTTATAAAACTTCTTAGCAGACTAAGAACATGGTAAGAAGAGACGTGATTTTGAGTTGTCAGGACTGCTGGGCTGTCTCCAACTCCCCATCATTTTCAGGATACAGCATCAGAGGTTCCCAAACATCGATCTAGCAAAGACTTTCTTCTGGACCATGAGGAACAGACAGTAAACATATTCACAGATGCTTAAGAGTCACGTAAATAAGGTTTATTATCCTCATTGACTTGGTAGTTCTAAGGATGGGAGCTTAGAAAACATTTGTAGACACCATTAAAATCCAAGCAAACATTATTAAAAAGTGGGGAAAACAGCAGCTACCTAGAAATGTCTAAATAAAGTAACTGTAAGGCCAATTTACTAGAGGTGCCAAAATAACCAGTCGTTTTCCACACATTATACATCCTTGAGAATGAAGGGTCAAAGTTCAAGGTCACAGTCAGGTACACAGGCTAGAGCAATGTATGTAAACCTTTCTTGGAGTCATTCTACTCTTTTTATTTTTCCCTTTTTATGTTTTTTAAAACTATTTAACAGCTTTATTGAAATGGATATACAATAAATCACATATATTTAGAGTGCACAATTTGATAACTTTTGACATATGTATAAATCTATAAAACCCTCACTACAGTCAAGATAATGAACAAATTCAGCACTTCCAAGAGTTTCCTTATAATCCCTTTGTAATCTCTTCCTCCTCTCTGCCCAGGCAACAATTGATCTGCTTTCTTTCAGTGTAAATTAGTTTGCATTTGCTATAGTTTTAAACAAACGAAATCACACAGTTTTGAGTTCAAATGCCTAAGAACCAGGGGAACTGATGGCATAACTCCCCATCTGCGGCTGGAGACTTGAGACTCGGGAGGGCCCTGATGTCGGTTCTGGAGTCCAAAGGCCAGCAAACCTAGAGCCCTAATGTCTGAGGTCAAGGAAAGACGGACGTCCCACCTCAAGAAGTGAGTGAGACTGCCCTGCCTCTGCCTTTTTGCTCTACATGGGCCCTCAGTGGGTTAGATGAGGCCCACCCACATTGGTGAGAGCGATGTTTTTTTTTATTTAGTCTACTGATTCATATGCTAATCTCTTCTAGAAATACCTAGAAATAACATTTTACCTGTGATTGGGCATCCCTTAGCCCAGTCAAGTTGATACAAAATTAACCACCACACAATGGGTTATTAAAAGTGTGTTATATACCTTCCAAATATTTGGGAATTTTCCAAAAACATGTCTGTTATTTATTTCTAATTTAATTCTACTGTTTTCAGAGAACATTATTTATATGACTTGAATCCTTTTAAACGTAATGAAACTTGATTTAAAGCCCAGAATATGTCTATGTTGGTAAATGTCTCATGTGTACTTAAAAAAAAAGTCTTTTGCTGTTGTAGAATGGAGTGGACTACAGACTGTCTGTAACATCTAGTCTCCTCTTTCCTCTAATTCCCTCTCCAGAGAAAATGTTAACTGTTGCCTTTGAAACCTTCCAGAAATTTCCTATGCAAATATGGGTATTAAACTATACTTAAAAAGACCCCAGGATCATATTATACACATAGTTATGCACGTTGCTTTTTTCCAACTCTCATAGTCACTCGGAGAGAGACTCATGTTAGTGTAGATATATCTAGCTTACTCTTTTTTAAAAAAATTCTTTATTTTTATTAGTTTACTCTTAAAATTTTTTTTAAAATTGATTTTTAGAGAGAGAGAGATAGAGGAAAGGAAGAGAGAAAAGGAGAAGGAGAGAGACACATCAATGTGAGAGTGGAACAATCCATAGGCTGCCTCCTGCACGCCCCCTGGGAATTGAGCCCACACAAAGGGTGTGTGCCCCGACTGGGAATTGAACCAGCAACTTTTCAGTGCATAGGACAGAGCCCAGTCAACTGAGTGAGTCATACCAGCCAGGGCTCTAGTTTATTCTTTTTAAGAGATGTATAGAATGTCACTGGTGGATGCACCATGAACTATTTAACCAGGCTCCTGTTAATGTCATTTCCAGTCTTTTGCTATTATGCTGCTGCAATAAATATCCTCTTCACTTACGTCTTTGGACCTATGTGGGAATTTATCTTTAAAATAAATTTCTACAAGTAGAAAAGTTGGGTTAAAGAGTACACACATTTTTAATGTTGTTAGAGGTTGCCAAACTGCATGGAGGAGCTTCCAAGTTTCTTCTTCTTCAGAGATTTAAAAAACTTTTCTCCTATTGACTAAAGGAAATGATCTAAGAAGTTTAAAAAAATCCTCCCACTTCCTTTAAGATAATTTGTATCATACTTAAAGATTTTAAAAGAAAAAAGTTCTGAAGCCACACTACTGATTTGTCTTTTCTCTTGAGTAACATCAGATGTTCAGGTTTTGCCCTCTACATCAGCAAATCGCCCTGCAATCATCTACAAATTGTTGTGCATGTCCATGCAGAGTGCACTGCAGCGGGGCTGGGGGCTGGGGGTTGGGAGGAGATGAGTGTCGGGCCGTGCGAGTGAGCGAGATCTAGCTGTAATACATAAACCTCTCGAGCCTCTGGAGCTTGGAACCAGCCACTCAAGGAGATCCTGAATAATTCCAAAAGTGGAGTTTTTATGGGAAAGTGGAGTGCCTGGGTGTGTGTGTATGTGCGCAATGCTCTTCCTTTATGACGAACACTGGGGAAAAGACATGGGATCTGGGTTGTAGCTGACAATTATTTATGTCACTAGATTTTATGTGTGCTTATTAGACTCACAGTAAAAACCATCTCAACCACTTATCATTGAACTTTAGACCAAGGGATAAATGAAGAACAATAAAGAAAAATTTCAAAGAGACACAAGGAGCCTTTATGTTCCCTTCTGATGGGGAACGAAAATGACCTTCCCACTTAACTCAAATTCTTGTGAAGTAAGCCTGTGGAATCCAGTTCCCCATCAAATTACAGAAAGGGGAATTTGCTTGGAGATTTCCTGATTATATTTCCTTTCTGAAGCCGGTTTGGGGAGGCCACATTCTGAAAAGCAGGATGGTCCAAGATACTTCAAGATTATGACCAAAAAAAGTTTGTTAAATTTCACACCCTTCAAAGGAAGCATTTTGGAAATTGCTAAATAGATATGACACATTCATTAAATACTTTGTAATAAGATACCAATGGCCAAAATCAATGCTCAAGCCCTAAATTTCCTCAAAAGTTGACTTAAAAATGCTTGGCCATATTGTGTCCATGTAACGCCAACTCATGGATATCTAATTCACCCTCAGGGAGGAAAAATACAAGGGCTAAAAGCAACAATTGCACAAAGAACCCCAGGAAACAAAGAGGTATTCTTTCTCTAACCATCAAATATTAATTAATATTTATTGAATGAATGTCCACACACCATCATGCTAGCTTAGCTCTACAGAGCTCCATAGCATCAGCAGGTTTCAGACAAAAACAAAAAACAACACACACACACACACACACAAAACCAAAACTCAATGATATTTCTTTCCATTTGGATGTTATGATTTATTACTGTCAGTCATTTAATGTTGATAAGCCCAAACCATCTCATAAAAGAGAAGACATGTGTGTAGAAGACTTGTGGAACAAATGAATCCACAGGCTGATGAGTTAGTTGCACAGGGATATGCATCACCAAAGGGCCAGGATATGGACTCTCCCAAGTGTTGCTCATAATCTAGGTGGGTTCCATAGGTTGAAATTAGAATTTTTAGGTAAAAATTTCTGACTTTTAAATATGGGCGCAACACACACACACACACACACACACGCCAACAAAATATATCTGAAGACTAGATTTAGCCCTTGGGTGACCAGTTCATTACAACTGACACTTATGTCCAGTCCCTCCTTCTTGTAAGAGTTCAGACCACAGCCATGAATGTCCACAGACAGTGACTGTACATACCTGGAAGCGACTCAGAACTCTGGTTGGGGACGTTGTGTGATGCCTCCTGGAGGACGTAGGTGGACGTGGAGATGGGGGAAGGGCAGATGCTGCTGGCTGGGACGTAAGGAGGGTTGTAGGACGAGCTGTAATACTGGGAGTATTGGCTCTGAGGGAAACCAGGGTAGGAAGGATAGTCCTGGAAAGGGAAACATACAGGTGGCGAGTGAGAAAGGTGGTTTGGTGTTGGCCCTTCAGTTGGCCCAGTCACAGGCTGATGAAGGCGAGGGGCCTTGTGGGATGGGTCTACTCTCTTTGTCTCCCATCAGAATAAACGCTCTACGAGGGCAGGGACTTGCCCCAGAGGCAGACCTCAAGAGGAGGATGGGACGAAAGATTACCAGTTGGGGAGTGCGGAAGTAAGGTAGAGAAGGGAAAAGGGAAAGCAGCCAATCCAGGGGCTTTAGGTAGGGACTGGAGTGGATTCTCTTGGGGAAATGCTGGGATGATAGAAAATACACATCTCGAAGGATCTCTCCAAGGAGCAAGGGAGCTGGGTTGTTCAGACGCCAACTCCAGCCAGTCTTTGAGAGCTGCTCCCAGGGGATATCAGTTCCCTGGCTCTTCCTGCCTGGCCCATGCACTGGTTCTAGAAAACAACCCAGGAATACAGAGATTGGCAGCTGGAGGTCAGCAGGTGCACCCTGAGGGACATGGGTGTGGCCTAGCAGCATCTGTCTTGCTCATGCTGTATGCCTGGCGCCCAGGACAGCGATGGGCACATTCAGGCTCTCAATAAATACTGGATAGTAAAGAATAAATGAATGAGTAATAAAGACTGCACACCCACATCGCAGGAGACTAAGTGACATTTTAGGTTCATAAGGGGTGCAGATACCTACATGGTATTAGGGACCCAGAAACTTCTATGAGGGAGACTTGGAGAGCAAATCAAAGAGTGCCAATCCTCTTTTACCAAGTTCTGCTCAAGCCAACCAGACCTCCCAACTCTTCCATAGCAGCCATTGCTTCAAACCTCTGCTTCATCACCAGAAACCAGTGCTTCTCAACCTACAAGGAACTCGTGGGACGTTCAGTTTCTCGGGCCCCTCACAGACCTACTGAATCAGAATTTCTGGGGTGGCATTTAGAGATCTGCATTTCTGACAAGCTCCCATGGTGAAATCAACCAATTAAGTATTTACTCTGAGTGGTAAAGAACTGTGCCTTAAAAACTACTCTTTTATGTACAAGTAATTTATCTATGTATACATTATAGTGCAAATAACACAAAAATATGTGAACTAATTTTCACATATTCCAAGGCTGAAGTCATTTATATTCTTCAGCTCACTGGAGAAATAGCGCATCCCCCATATTTAAATATGTTAAATATTCCTAAAGGCCCTCTACCTCGGGTAGTTTTAACACTAGCCTGAAAGCATGTTAATCTTTTTGTTGTGGTGGTGGTTAATTCTCACCTGAGGATAATTTTTCCATTGATTTTTAGAGAGAGTGGAGGGGAGAGAGAGAGAGAGAGAGAAACATCACTGTGAGAGAGATATGTCTATTGGTTGCCTCCGCATGTGGCCCAGATTGAGCCTGCAAAGGAAGTAGGTGGAATTGAGCCTGGGACCCCTTAGTCTGCAGGTCAATGCTCTATCCACTGAGCCAAATGGGCCAGGACTTAATCTTTTGTTTTGAAATAAGTTTAGACAGAGCAAAGGTGCACAGATAACACAGTGTTCCCGTACACCTTGGGCAGGTCAATTCTGAATTCACTCTCTAAAGTGAAACCACGGGAATCAAACTACAAGCCAGCATTCATCTTTAAAGTACTGACTTAGTTCAATTTAAGCTAGCGTTTATAAAGCCCCCACTGTGTGCCGGGCACTCCACACTGGGATGCTTTCACCCTGGAGAAGCCCAAGATCTGCGAAAGAGCAGACACCTTGCATCCCTACATTCTAGATTCAATAGTCAGTGGGTGTCTAGGGCTCAGGTCAGTACGTAATATAGAATATCGCCTGTCATCCAATTTCTCTGCCTCTACCCTGTATCCTTTCAATGGCCATTTACAGTCTCTCCTGTGGTATCCAAACCTGGGAAGAAGACATGGATTTCTGGTGGGGGTCATGGGCAGGAGGAGGCATTCTGGGTGCCCTGATTTAAGGGGACTTTTAAAGGAAAGAACCGAGACAACATCTGGTGGGTATACCTGGTGCACACTTCCGAACCCCGCTGCGCCAGTCAGTCCATTTGCTCCTTGATAGATCCCTGCCGTTCCTGTGGGAAAAGGGACAGGGGCGCAGATGAGGTTTCTTACAGTCAGAGGGAGATAGGGAGGAGGAGGATGCTGCGGAAAGGTGTGGTCTTCGAGGTCCAACATGTTGGGAAGATGGAACCTGTGACCTTGGCAAGTTCCCAAATCTCTCTGAACCCCAGTTCTCTCAATCAATGAACAAAATAAATAATACCTCATCAAAGAACTGGGTGATAAAGAAATGAGATGAAGCTTTAAAAATGATTTATTTAAAAAAATCATGTGGAAAATGTACATAAAATTTACCCTTCTATTTTTAAGTGTACAGTTCAGTGGTATTCAGTGCATTCATATGGTTGGGCAACTATCGCCACCATCCATTCCCAGAACTTTTTTCATCTTGTAAAACTGAATTATTTACCCATGAAACACTAACTCCCCATGTACCCTCCCCTCAGTCACTGGCACCTACTTTTCTACTCTGTCTTAATGAACTTGATTGCTTTAGTACCTCTTATCAGTGTTATCATGCCGTGTTTGTCCTTCTGTGACTGACTTATTTCATTTAGCATAACCTCTTTAAGTTTCCTCCATGTTATGGTACTTGTTAGGATTTCCTTCTTTTTAAGGCTAAACAATATTCCATTGTATGTATAGACCACATCTTGTTTATCCTTTCATCCACTGACGGACACTTGGGTTGCTTCACATTTTTCTATTGCAAATAATGCTGCAGTTTTGTTTTGCACCATTTATATGCTGTGAAATTCCCCCAATCTGAAGTATCAGTTGAATGATTTTTAAAGTCACCACGACGCAGTTTTAAAACATTACCATCACTCCAAAGTTCCCTTGTGCTATTTTCAGTCCCCCCCCCCCCCACTCCCTTCTCCAGCCTCAGGCAGTCACTAATCTCTTGTTGATACTAGAGTTTTGCCTTTTCTAGAAATTTCACAGAAATGGGACCATACACATGTGTTTGTATCTGGCCTCTTTCCTTAGCTGATGCTTTCGAAGTTTGTCCATGTCGTAATGTATATCAGCAGTTCATTCCTGTTTATTGCTGAACTAGAGGACCTAATGCACGAATTCGTGCACAGGTGGGGTCCAGCCAGCCTGCCCCATCAGGCTGAGCAGGCCTGCCAGTTGGGGGGAGGGGCTGCAGGCAGTTGGCGGGCTGGCCCCGCCCCCTGGTCAAACTCCAAGCCGAACTCCCAGTCGAGGGGGCAATTTGCATATTAGCCTTTTATTATATAGGATAGCATTCCACAGTATGGAAACACCACATCTAGTTTTTGGCTATTATGGAAAATGCTGCTATAAACATTTGCATATACGTCCTTATGTGGATATACGTTTTCATTTCTCTGGGACAGATCCCTAGGAGTAGCACTGTGGAGTCATGTGATGAGTTTGTTTCACTTTTTAAGAAAGGGCCAAACTGTTTTCCAAAGTGGCTATGCCATTTTACCTTCCAGTTTCTCCAGCACTTCCTTTTTCAGTCTTTTTTTATTATAGCTTTTCTAGTAGGTATGTAGTGGTAACTTGCTGTGGTTTTAAGTAACATTTCTCTAATGACTAACTATGTTGGGCATTTTTTTTTATGTTTATGAGCCATGAGTATATCTTCTTTGGTGAAGACCTATTCAAATCTTCTGCCCATTTAAAAATAGTTAGGTTTATCCTCATTACTGAGCTGTAAGAATTCCATATATATATCATTTCCCCCCAAATGTATATATTCTTTGAGTGATTATAAAATCAGTGTTTATTAACATATATTTCATTTTAAAAATTTAAAAGAATCTACAGAAATTAATACTTTTTTTTTATTAGAACCTGTTTTTAAAACTGTTGACCATTCTGGTCTAGGCACTGCGATAGCATGCAACAGAATCACAAACATCAAGAATAATTTAGTTTGGTATTTGTGTGCCTTCAATTTGTCAACTGTTGCTGGTTCTGTACTGTAAACTTTATCTTTAATGTATCCCCATAAAAAAGTCTAGTGGATAAATTTTCTCTGTTCAAAGCTTAGTTATTTCAAATCAGCTAAACCTGAAAGGGAGTGAAAACTGAGTTATCAGCAGTTAAAGTGTGTATACATTTTCCCCAAATGTACTGCAACTGGGTTTTCAAGCTTCCAGTAGCATTTTAGGATGAATTTCCTTTGTTCAAAGTTTAGTTTTGCTGAAAAGAAAGAAACATCAATTGAACTATAAGTTGTTAAAGTCTGTATACATGTTTTTGGGACACCCTGTATATACTGGATACAAGTTCTTATCAGTTATATGATTTGAAAATATTATGTCCCAGTTTGTAGCTTGTCTTTTCACTTTCTTAATGGTGTATTTTGAAAAACAAAAGTTTTTTTATTAAAAATTAGATGAATCATTTTTTTAAATTACATATTTTATTCCCCCATCCCTATTTATCCTTTCTATGTCCTCCTCCACCTCCACCCATTCCCCTCCACCCCCTCAATCACCACACTGTTGTCCTTGTCCATGAGTTCTCTCTCTTTTTACTTTTTTGCTCAATCCCTCCACTTCCACAACCTCTGTCCCCCTCCCCCACCTCCCAGCTGTCTGCTTGATTTCTATCTATGAGTCTGTCTCTATTTTGCTTGGTAGTTCAGTTTGAAAAACCAAATTTTTAAGTTATCAATTTTTCCTTCTATAGATCTTGCTTTTGCTGCCTAACCCAAGGTCATTAAAATTCTTTCCTATGTTTCCTTCTAGAAATTTTATGGTTTTAGCTCTTACTTAGGTATGATCTAATGTAAATTAATTTCTGTGTATGGTATGAGGTAAAGGTCTAAAGTAACCATTATGCATATGGATATTCAGTTGTTCCAGCACCACTGTAAAGAGTATATCCTTTGCCAAAAATTAATTGACAATAAGTGTGAGAATTTATTTTTGGATTCTCTCTTCTGTGCTATGATGTATCTATCTTATACCAATTCCTTCCTGTCTTGATTACTGTAGCTTTACAGTAAGTTTTGAAATCAGGTTGTATAAGTTCTCCAATTCTGTTCTTATTTTTCAAGATTGTTTTGGCTTCTATGTATAAATTTGGCATTCACATGTCAATTTTAAAATAAGCTTGTCAATTTCTATTGGCCAGAGGAAGTGGCACAACATTTTCCAAGTACTATATCAACCCAGCATTTTATATCCAGAAGGCATATCCTTCAGGAAAGAAGAGAAAACCACGACATTTTCAGATGATGGGAAATTAAGACTTGTCACAGCAAATCTACCCTGAAAGAATGGGCGCAGGAAGTTCTTGAAACAGGAGGTTTAAAAACAAAAGGAATCTTGAAGCATCAGGAAGAAAGAAAAAGAAAAGGAAAAAGATAAAAATATGGGTAAATAAAGTCTCCTTTCTGTATAGTTATGTCACCAACTCAATATATAGGGGTTGGAGAAAAGTAGGTTTACAGTTTTCATATGAAAGTAATATAAATAATTAATACAGTAATTAATAAATAAACCTACTATGAACCTACTGTAAACAACTGTAACCCTACTTTTTCTCATCCCTATACAATTAGGTTCATAACAGTTCGCTATCAAATTTGTGGAATTACTTTTTCAAATGTGCTTTATAATGATACTAGAGTCCCGATGCACGAAATTTGTGCACTCAGGGGTGGGGGTCCTTCAGCCCGGCCTCCAGGGAGCGGGCCTAAGCTGGGAGTTGGACATCCTTAATGCTGCTGCGGAGGCGGGAGAGGCTCCTGCCACCGACACTGTGCTCGCCAGCCATGAGCCCAGCTTCTGGCTGAGCAGTGCTCCCCCTGTGAGAACACACTGACCACCAGGGGGCAGCTCCTGCACTGAGTGTCTTCTCTCTGGTGGTCAGTGCATGTCATAGCAACCTGTTATTCTGCTGTTCAGTCAATTTGCCTATTAGCCTTTTATTATATAGGATAAAATATTGAAATGGTTCCATGGTCAAATCTACAAGATAAACTCTAACCAAGTGTGGGGATGAGGAGGTTATATGCTAGGCACTGGGAAGGTAGTGGAGCAGTAAGCTGCTAATAAGTGCTTTCACTGGGAACTTGGGGGGTGCAGGGAAGGGTTCTATAATGCCAACTGGGGAAGGGGCGGGGCCAGGGGAGGCTTCCTAGAGGAAATGACATCTAAATGGTTTCTCAAGGATGGGCAGGAATTAGCCAGGTAAAGAGACAAGAACCAGAAACATGGCCACACCTGGGCATTCTCCCCTGCTGTCCACTACATGGGGGCCTGTCTCAGGCCCAGAAACCACAGAATTGTCCACAGCAGTGTGGCATGCTGCAATCCCATTCTATCCTCAATGGCCTGTCCAGACACGTCTGGCAGAGCTTTAGGCCAGCCTACTCCATTCAAGGTCCTGGGGTCCTGGTTACCATGGCAATCCTACCTGCCAAAATTCAGGAACACACCTGCCTTAGGAAGTCTCCTGGATGCCTGGTTTTCTCACTCGACTTCATTTTTTTCCCCTTTGTGTCAAATGACGCCTTAGGGCAGGCTTGGAAGCAAACAGACCACCATCCTACCCTTTGGTATTCTTTGTCCAAAACAGCCTCTCCTTTGTTTTCATTTTGTGACCCGGGGGCATCTGAAGAATGGACAGCTGCACAAACTGCAGTTTGCTGAGGGCAGTCACAGAGCCCCTGCAGTGAGAGAGCCATCCCATGCCAGAGAGGACCCAGGAGGAAGAGGGCACGTGGCCCGAGAAATCTTGTGCCACAGTATGTGGTCTCTGGAGGGTTTTGTAAATGACTCATCTTGGGCTGACTTCTTGCTTCTGTGTGGCTGGTGGAATGGGCATTGAGGGCTGGGGAAGGCAAGGACAGGCAGAGCAAACATCCTCTTCTAAAGGTGATGGTGGAAGGCCCTGCTAGGGGTCTCCCCGTACCCACTCACCCCTTCTCTTTCATATTAATAGAATCTCTGCTTTTAAGCTGGACACATAGCTGATTATAATAAGCACTACCTTTCCTGGTTCCCCTTGTGGCTGGTGAAGT